ATTTCCAAAAAGAACATCATATATCATGAAACCAGAGTTTTTGTTACATTTTTACATCCTGGTGAATCATTTGTCAAGTTTACAAAGACACAAAAATTAAATTATATACGCCGCCACTGTTACCGTCTAAATAAAGAAAAATCGATAGTTATGTTTTTTTACCCAGAACTTTGGAGACATGGAAAGAATCCATAAAATGTTGTTTTCTAAACCTATTGATACTGGAATGCTGCAGATATTTATTTCTAATTGAATAATTATATGGAGCCTTTTAAAATTGACCCTGCTTATTTCATCGTTATTAATTATATTTTTACAATTACTGGGATTATGTTTAATAGCATAAAACCCATCAAAAAAATGTAAGGAAGACATTTTATAATTTCTTTTGATGTCTCTAAAGTTCTTGGTTAAATTGTATTATTGGTATTAGATATAAATGATGAATAAAAAGCTGGTTTATAGCTGGCATTAGTTGTTTAATCTAGTAAATGGATCTTATCTATACTATATACTCCCTAAGGGGAAACCATGCTTTGCAAACTTCGTGGTAATAGCTTAAGTAGTAATAAACATTTACTCAGAACAGTTCACTCATATAGAACCAAGGTTCTTTAGTAAGGTTGCATACTCTGGATGCGTTCTGTACGAAAAATGTCGTCTCCTAAGATAGATGGGGGGAAAAACCATAACGTCATTCTCGCCTCTTTAATCTGTGGAGCCCATACAAAACATATCACCACAAAACTTATCACCACAAAAGTTATCTTTTCAAAACTTATCAGCGACAAAACTTATCATCACAAAACTTATCAAACTACAAAACTTATCAAACTACAAAACTTATCAAAACACAACTTATCAACTGCAAAACTTATCAAACTACAAAACATATCAAAATTAAAACTTATCAATAAAATTCATGAGTCTAAATTTTCAAATTATGGAAATGTTCCAACAATTGTTAAAAAAGCCGCGAATTTTACTAGAAAATTAGGTAAAAGCTCAGTTTTCCAGCCCCTTTCCACCGAGATGGAGGCTACTTTTGTTCTCTCACAGAAGGGTACAAACTTACTTAAGGATGATGAAAACCAGCTGTACTACAAGTACAGAGAGAACAAGAACAAGACCTGAAGGCTATGTGTGCAAGCTTTGATAATGTACCCTTGAACAACTTTTAAAAATGTTTTGAAAAATAAGTTTTGTAGTTATTTTAATAAGTTTTGAGTTTGACAAGTTTTGTTGGTTGATAAGTTTTGTAGTTTGATAAGTTTTGTAGTTTGATAAGTTTTGTAGTTTGATAAGTTTTGTAGTTTGATAAGTTTTGTAGTTTGATAAGTTTTGTTGGTTGATAAGTTTTGTTGGTTGATAAGTTTTGTTGGTTGATAAGTTTTGTTGGTTGATAAGTTTTGTTGGTTGATAAGTTTTGT